TTATTTATTGCAAAAATTGTGCAGAGAAAACGTCAAAAAATGGAAATTTATTTTCATAAGCGTTTCATATTCAAAATTTTTGACTTTTTTCAATTTTTTTAGGTTCAATTACGAATTATGGGTATAAATAATAAGAATTTTTTCGCTGCCTGTTATAGGATCAATATCACGGACGCCATTTGTCCAGCAGCTGAGCAACTCGCACGCGTACCTGCCAAATGGGATGCTTCATATGTCCGCCATTTTTAAATATTTTTGGAAAAAAAAAATACGTATGGACAGTCCAAAACATATATAAATAAATGTTTAAGTTTGAAAAATATAGAAAAATTCTTTCTCCTACAAAAAAATTCTTGAAAATAGCTTATTTTTCCTCGTTCTAATTGGATTTCCCCCCTTAAGTTTTCGTTAGCTTTGTCGCGAGCACACATCCCTATCACGAGTAAGTTTGCTTTTAGGAGGTAGAAATACGTATTTACTCTAAGTTTCCGTGACATGATTAAAGCTCCCTTCACATTGGGAAACCACGGAATTTGATTAAGCAACGTGTGAAGCCTAAAACGACATCCTCGTGCTTTTCTCATCCAAATCGAATGACGTGTTTACGGATCAAAAGATTGAACGCTAAATTATAGATCGTTATTTTCTCTTCTTTGGATGATTCCGTTCTCTTTCTAGAGATTCACTTCGTAAACCAACTCAAGAAAATTTTATATTTCGACTTAAAAAAGAAATTATTTTGTCGAATATACATCTTTTGATAATATTTCAATATTATTTTATATTGCAAAAATTATATATATATATATATATATATATATATATATATATATATATATATATATATATATATATATATATATATATATATATATATATAGTATATGTAGCATATGTAGTATATGTAGCATATATAGTATATGCTTAAAGCTTTTATTATATTACAATTATCCTGAACGCTTTAGAAATTAATTAAGGGGGAAGAGAGAGAATCATTTTAAAGTTTCTATCATACGCGAAAGCTGCTCCTTCAAAGCAACATATTAAAATGCGATGCTCTGCCAAAGTTTACTTTTTACTTTACGGGGAATAATAACAACTCGTTTAAACGATAAAAAATTGTAGAAAACTGAATGTTTGATATGATATGCATCAGAAAATTTTGTTTAAAATTTTAGAGAACAATTTTCTGTTCGCTTTTAGAGGACATGCACGTTGAAGCAATTTTTGTGTGATATAACTTTGCTTTCAGGAGTTTAAACTTATTTCTTTCAAAGGTACGAGCAGATTCTGTTTTAAACCACTTCATAAAGTGAAGCAGGACGTTTTATAAGTGCAAAACGGAGACTTATCCCGCTCAGTTGTACAAAACATAGTAAGAAAATAGACTAAAAACATTGAGAGAGATGACAATTTTACTGAGGGTAGAAGCATTCATTCTTGTCTCGCTCTTAAAGCGGAGAAATATATTATATTTTGATATATTTTGGTAGACTCGCGTTTCTTCGTATAATGAAAAATATCGACTTACTTGTCAACTGTTACATCCGGATCGTTAAGCTGGTAAAGATCTACGAAGAATTTGCTGTCGTTAAAATTCCCGAAGCGCTGCACCGTATCCAACAGCGGGCTTTCGCAATAAACTTGGCTGAAAACCCATAGAAGCGCACCGTAAATCGACAATTACGTAATTTTGTAAATAAGTAATTATGTAATTGGCAAATATCGCCAATGACGTTATGGTAAAAATAATTAATCTATTCGATATATATTTATGCACACGGCGATATCCGTGCCGTGTGATGTGGAGCATCCGAAAAAAGAATAACATTGAATTGACAGATATTATCGAATGCACTCACTGAAATAAATGCAACTGCAACATTAGCTGTAGATATCAGCAAATGGGAAAAAGTCGTCGTCATTGAAGTTCCAAGAAAGTATACAGAATATCTCAGACTTTAATATACTAATATTACCATTTCACAGGTTAAAAACGACGGTGATTATGCCAACGCGTAGAATAATTTAATACTCAAAGACATTAATTAAGCCCAACGGACGTTAAAAAGGACAGTAAGATCTTGTTTCTCAATAATCTGCACAGACTTTCGCTTGCATGTGCTTTATTAGCGCGGAAATGCTTAACACTTTAATGCTTTTGTGTGGCCTGTATTTATCTTTCACCTGAACTACAGAGCTCAAATAAACGTATATGATCCGCGCACGGTAATAAATGAAATATCAAACTGAATGATTCACAAAATTAAAACGTTAAATCTCATTTTCTTTGGGATGTTCAAAATCTCAGAAGAATTATTTTATATTAAATTCAGTTTATGAGAAATTCAATAAATGAATAGAAATTATCGTAAAAATGCGATTTTTTATCTACATATTTCAAAAATTATCTCCAAAGGAGATTTTAATATTGAAAAGAACAATACCTGGGTAAGTGATAGCTTTATACAAAATACAGAATTCACTTTACAGTCCACTGTTAAAAAGGACATTCGCTAAATCTGGGTCGTTCTTACATTTCGTCTTTTCGTTTGCTCTTTAAGAAACTTTCTCCAACTTTTCTACCGTTTTATCTTAGGATATCAAATGTCGATATTTTCCAGCAATGACCAAGGGATCTGTCTCAGCGACCATGATATTCGAGTTTGCGAGGGACGGCGACTTTAAGTGAAACTTGGACAAGCCTGTTATTTTTCCTCGACAAGCATGTCGACATCGACGTCGACGCGATGCGAACCTACGCTCCCAGAGATCGACGGGGCATAAAATCAGGCAAGAAAGTTGCATGTTTTGAGAGCGGAATGGGAAGCCGCTCACACAGCATCCTTCATTGCGTGACCCATTGTTTCCTAGCCGACTCGAGACTGCCGGAGCATAATGATGAACGCTTTGTTTCATTTTCACAAGAAACGCCGTCGATAAACAGGATGAAATCGTACTTCAATTCTGCGAATTCTCCCTCGTCGAAAGCCGGCAACTACGAGGAAACTATACGGAATCGTAATGAGGAACCGAATGTTAATGAGATCAATCGACCTAAGATCGTCAATTTATAACCAATCACCGTAGAGGTCAACATATTTCAAGTTCCAAAGATTCACAAATTCCTTAACTACGCAGGATTTTTTAGCATTTGAAGAACCTAATATATCCTTAAAACTTGATATTTGAGAGACTAAGGTGTTGTACGAAATTAAGCATTTTTTATGTAACACAAACCGGTCGCGACAAAACGGAGGTAAAGGACCTCTGAAGCGCTGTCTTGAGTAAGAATGCGAATATTTCGCGGTATCAGGATAATTTATAGAACGCAATCATGCATATTTATGCAGAATGGTTTACGTGAAGTGCTGTCCTCGAGCTGTCCTCTCGAGTACTGTTAGAAACGGTGACAAAATTCTGCCTCGCTATTTCGCAATTCATTGGAATTCTTTAGAGAAAAAATGACGCTGTTTTCAGTAGAATAGGATCTTTCAATATTTTGCAATTTCTTCAATGAAATAATATATAAATTTTTCAATTTTTTACACTTCTATTAAAAATAAATAACTCTCATTTAAATACACTCTTTGTGATATTCAGTATGCTGGATATCGTATTATATTTTTTTAGCAACACATCGAATATGACGGAAATATATTTCAAATAAAGATAATCTGTTTTCCTTTCATGAAGTCGAACAGTACAAGAACGTGTCGTATGGATAGCTGCGAAAAGAGAGATGGTGGAATCCCAACGGATTAAAGGATAGAAAGAATTGGAAGAGAGGGGAAATGGAAAATCCACGGATCCGAAACTGTAAAGATACTTCCCGTGAGTGGAATGCCGATCGTTCACGTCGTCATGAGATAGAGCGTCATCAATGAACACTTCATACTTCCCTCCATGAGTGGATAAATGATGGGGGAGAAATTGATAAATGATAAGAAGAAATCTCTCGAGTAAAAGCTGCGGTACGAAACTTTCATGAATCGGCAGGTTTTATCTTTAAATTTAATAACTTGATTTCACTGTGAAAGAAAATCGACAAGCTGCCCTTTACCATCGAATTTTTTTTCTTCTCTGCAACGAATGATCAATCTTACCAGGACTAGACTTAACGTAAATCTCATTTGATTGGATTCTCCTTCTCTACTTATACAGAAAACCCCTCAAACTCTGCAGTTAGAGTTAAACGATATCGATAAAATGGTAGCGGATTATTGTTATATACAAAGGGCGTAAATTATCAATTAGCCGCGATATAAATAAATAATCCACAATACGTGTCAGCTTATTTCCATTTAACTAAAAGGTAATATAACGAATAAATGAATTTCAATCATTCGTGATTCTCAAGCCATTTGTTGCAACCAATGAAATTGATGACAGACACAACGCGCATCCAACAAGCCGACGTAAACGAATGTTATCAATCAGTTCAGCATTAGATAAGCGGTTATCGTCGTTTACTAAATTTCCGGAACGTCTCGTTAATGATCTGCGTGGTATCAAACAACTTGAAACAACAGAGCGCACGATCGTTACGGAGAATAATAAGGTGATTATATTAAAATATCCGTATATATTTGCTATATTTCCACGTAATGGTTACATTTCCCTGTATTTCTTATTAGTTCTGCATGACTCGTAACAGTCCAAATATCGTCTCGAAGTAAGGTCAAGCAAATTTGTTCCATCGAACGATTACGCAACATTTTCCAATTATTGTCGATACTCGATCACTCGACTAAATGATACACAGAGTGTTTCCCATTTGAACGTTCAGACTGTATCATGTATCCTTTAAATAAAAATAAGAAAAAAATATTATATAAACTCAATAGATTATATAGATTCAAATGTAGTTTATTAAACATAATAAAACAAGTTATTTATTAGAATAATAAAACAAAGGAAACACCGTGTAATTTTCTAGTTTCTCTTTCAGATACAAACCTAAAAAATCGAGCTTTCACTTAATCTTTAGACCGGAAAAGCCACTTTTGTGGCTCTGCATAAATCTCAAAATTCTACGTCATATATATGTTACTTATATAGACAAATTTTTAAGAAAAAGAAATTACTTTTTTAATGAAAAAATTCCAACAGCCTAAAGGTTAATAAATTTCCTGCCGATCTTTTAATTTTAATAAATATACACTGAGAAAAATTTCTGGTAATAATTATCCAGCCTGTTATAGTTACTACAATTAGTGAAATAGTATCAACTAAATATAAAAGATAAATATTAGGTATTATATGAAAGTTAATGTTACTAACTATTTTGTAAATATTATCACACATTTGGTAACATTAACCATATTGGTTACTATTTACCAAATAGTATGGTAAAACGCATTTGGTAAGTATTACCAAACTTTTTTTTTCATTATATCAGTGAGTATTTTTTTTCAACTCTTATCCGATATTGAGTTTTACACTCGTTGCACTTTTCCCTTCACAAATCCCCACAAGTGAAAAATCCAACGAAATCTTCTGATCTCGGAGAATATCTCATTTCAGCTCGAGTATTCCCATTGCACAAGCCATAAAATGAAATGTACATTCGTGTACTCTTCATTCGAAAAAAGTGTCGGCATTTTCACACGAGATTGCACTTTGTATACTGATGCAATGGTTACAGAAATGATGCTGGTACATTGGTACTACACATGTAACGAATTTACCACCAGTGTAACACCAGTGTAACACCAGGCAAGCACATTATCGTATATGCTATTGTACTGGATGTATATTTATACATTTTTTCCTTATTTCTACCGATAAAGCATATTGGTACAGTTTGATCGTTTAAGTGCGAAAATCCTTGCATGTTTATGGATTTTATTCCGTCGAAAACGTGAATGATATGAAAAGACGTATCAGTGAGAAGTGTATTAACATTCCTTAAGAAGTTATCTTCCATCCCTGATGCGATGAATATTTCAATGAGGAGCGTTGTTATGTCTTCGAGACAATGGCGAAAGTTTCAAACGTCTACTATAAAAAAACCTGTCTGTCACTGAATGACGGTGGATCGTTAAAATGGTCCAAGCGACTGTGTAAACTTCAACTGTATCGAGGTTGCGTTATGTGGACTATTGTTGGATTCGCACTTGTTTTATCGTAGAAAAATATCGAGATAACTTTCTCTCGAAAGATCGTGACAATAAAAAAAATAAATATTTTCTAGATTAACACGATCAAAAAATTGTTCAAAAAAAAACTGTAAAATTTGTTTAGCCAATTGTACGTTTTTGTTAAAACAGAAATCACTTGGCACAAAGATTCATAGGACTTGTGTGTGTGTATGTGTATAATCCCATTCTTCGTAAAAATATATCCAAATCATTTAGTGAAAATTACACATGGAACAATCATGGGACAAGAATAATGCGAGAAACTCATGAACTTGATCTTCCTCGATTACATTGACAAGTGAGAAATGCAGGGATACGCCGAAAAATTATCATCTTCTAATTGGGAAGAGACAAGTGTCTCAAAAAGACAAGTTTGAAATAAGATCCAGAAACGATTATGAAACTATTAATGATTCGCAAACTTATAATGATACGTAAACTTGACCTTCAATGAAGTTTGCGCGGTACGGGATGAGAAAAAGAGAATTGCTCGGCTGTCACGAAGCTCGCTGGTGTACTTTCACTCACCTGTCGCAGAGATCCTTCGGCCCAGAGGTGGTACCGGATACATAGCCGATGGAGGCCGCGTCGCTCAAGGCGTTCGCGAAGGAAACGACTAAGACAACTAAGACGGCCATGTCTGCGATTCGACTGAGCGCGGGTAACTCTCGAATAAAGAAGAACTCAACTCGAACGTCGATCCCGCATGCGACATACGAACAAGTTCGTCGATCGTGAAAGCCGATCGGGCGAGCGCGCGCGTGTGATCGACGCTGGCGAAAAATCAGCCGAGTTCCTGGTGTGTGTCTCGGCCGTTATGACTGCGCGAACTATCCGTTATATCTGTGGCATCATGTCGCGCGCGCGCTTGTGATAAGCGCGAGTGGGTACTTGGCTTGCTGATTGGCTAGTGATTATGCGCAAGTGTCATGCACATTTTGGGAGAAAAAAGCGCACACCATGATATCGCTTATTCAGCTGAACGATAAGCTTCCAGTAAGGCAGCTAACGGCGAGAAATGTAGTTCAAGGAAAGAAACGATACGATGAAAAGATAATATCGTAAGTCATGTTATGTTAAAGTATTCTCTTGTTGTTAAATTCAGAAATACAGCGCTTATATAGGTAAGCAGGACTTTACTCCTTAATACCTGCAATTAGACTCAAACCCAGCACAGTAATATTCCTGTCTCACTTGGAAAATTCTATTTTATTTAGATGCCACAGCACTCGTCTCCACATTATATTTTAAGTTTGTGTCTTACAGATAAAAAATAAAGGTTATTTATTGACTCTTTTTATTTACGAATACTTACCTTTATCGTTGATTGATTGGAGGATATCGCGTCTGGAAGGAAGGTCAACCCAGTAATTTGAAAGAGATTCCAAAGTTATACGAGGCATTGAAACACAATGTAAGACTGACAGGCCAGCCTGAACTCTTGGGAATACACTCATGTATCACGAAGACCGACAAGATTGAGAGGACGAAGAGTGTGGACGAAAGAAAAAATTAATTGGACGGGTGGGTCTTCTTGTACAAAGTGGATAGTAGATCACGATCTGTTCCTTTTGAACGCATTGTTACGGGCACACATTCCCGTACATCAAATGTAAGTCAAACTGTACCAGGTGAAAGACAACACTGCATAATAACATTGTCCAAGCTTAGATTTTTGTGGATAAAACAATTATCAATATCTTAAATATAATTGAGTCTAATAAAGTGTTATAATTAGAAAAGACAAAACTCCCGCCCACTTAGTTACTCCTTTTATAAATTTATTTTAATTTTCCCTAAGCATAGAGTATTAGCCATTACTAGGATATGTCAAGCGGAAGTTATATATTAGGACCTTAACTTAGTTTCCGCCCGCAAATGTTAGATGGCAATGCAAACAGTTCTAGTAGTCATTACTAACGAAACAGGTAGTTTGTGATTAATTTCGACATTTCTCGATAACATTCAGTCAGCATACACAATTATTTTCCTAAACAACAATTTCTTTTGCTTTGTGAAAAATGGAACGCGATAAAGTGTTTTTTCGACATGTGCTTTTGCACTATTTTGATTTGAAAAAAAGTGTAGCAGAAGTTCATCGATTACTTGAAGAAGGTTATGGTGATCGAGCTCCATCACATACAACATGTAAAGAGTGGTATAGACGATTCAAAAGTAATGATTTTGATGTCAATGACAAACCACGCTCAGGACAGCCAAAAAAATTCCAAGACGATGAATTGCTAGCATTATTGCATGAAAACTCGGCTCGAACGTTACAAGAACTTGGAAACGAGCTAGGAGTTACTGAAGCAGCTGTTTCCAAACGTTTACACGCCATGGGAAAGATCCAAAAGGAAGGAAGATGGGTACCACATGAATTGTCTGAAAGTGCCATTCACAACCGTTTCAATATCACGGTTTCGTTGCTTGCCAGGCAAAAAAAGAAGAGTTTTCTGTGGCGTATTGTGACTGGCGATGAAAAGTGGATCTACTACGACAATCCCAAACGCAAAAAATCATGGGTAGACCCAGGACAACCATCAACATCGCAGCCAAAACGGAACATCCACGGTCATAAGGTAATGCTTTGCATTTGGTGGGATCAGCAAGGAGTGCTGTACTACGAACTGCTGAAACCAAACGAAACTGTTACTGCCGATGTCTACAAATGTCAATTGAACAAATTGAATGATGAGCTGTTGCGAAAAAGACCAGCAATAGCGAGTAACAGGCGCAAAGTTATTCTCTTACACGATAACGCTCGGCCACACACTGGAAAAACCGTCAAAGAAACACTGACGCAGCTCGAATGGGAAACTCTTCCTCACCCAGCGTACTCACCAGACATAGCGCCTTCTGATTACCACTTGTTCAGATCGATGCAGCACGGCTTGAGTGGTACACGCTTCCGAAATGTTGAAGAAGTGCGAGAATGGGTGGACGAATGGATTGCTTCGAAACAAACATCGTTTTATCGAGATGGTATCGCCCAGTTGCCAGAAAGATGGCAAAAAGTTGTAGAAAGTGATGGAAAATACTTTCATTGAAATAATTTAAATAAATTTTTTACAATAAATGCTTTTTCTCAGTATTTTTTGGGCGGAAACTAAGTTAAGGTCCTAATATATAAATATTAGGTTAATTAATAACTAACGAACTGAAGCCTCACAAATCCGCGCAACCAATAACGTGATATAATAACCATACGCAATAGCCATACCTGTTTCTGACAAAAGATACATTATTCATTATACCGGCTTCCTCGTAAGCCTCATTTTTAACTCTTAGAAATCACTAATTTATACCGTGTTATATGCATATCATGCATCCTGTCAAGTCAAGTATAACAGCGCATGTTTTTTTTTCTTATCAAGTAGCATGTCACGATACAGATCTGCGTGGAACATTTGCAAGATATATTTGCACGTGTATTTCTTGTCCACGCCATATCCTTCTGCAAACATTTTTTTAACCTAGACACACATACGACTATGACATCTATCAAGAAGAGATATGGCCCACGCGTGACTTCATTTGTTTTCGTTCACGATATCTACATGATAACAACCTTAACATTTATTAGGAACAGGATTAGCAAGATTTCTCGATTATACTTATCGTATCGACATATTGCAACATGTCTATTGATTATTCATGGAAGTGCAAAGATATGTCGAATGTTATTTTTTTGTTACATTTTTATGTGATTTTATTTATTTTATGTAATTTTATGTATTTTATTTGATGTATTAATTAAAAGTATCAAGATTTATGAATATTTAATTAACACATCGATAACTTAACAGCTAAAATATCGTTGTTGTTTTCTTGAGAAATCCTGATCCACGATAGAGTCGAGTAATTAAAAATTCTACTATAATATTGTACCGTGGATATTGTTAAATATGTTAGTTTATACATATTTTGGCTATTTTAAATTAATCTCCAACCTCTAAATATCATTCGAAATTTTGATGGCTAAAAGATCTTGAAGAATATTTGTCAGATATTGTCGTATATAATGATGTCAGCAATTTTAATATTGTGTTTGAGACGTGCTATTCTTTCTGTTAAACTACTTCTAACTTAACGATAAGATAATTCCACGGAATGTAAGTAAATGAGTTTCGAATATACACTTAGTATTGTTAAGGTTAAACAATTTGCTTGATAATGATCAAGCAAATATGTATTATCTTAGGAAAATCACTGGAATTCTAATAAATAAGGTCAAACACAAAATTTCAGACACCGTCTTACCACCACAAAGGAGCAAAAACAGAACTTCCAACGACGACGGACTCTGTGGGGAGGTATTGACAGCGCTTCACATAGCCCGGAGAAATTTCAGAACACGCTGAATATTGGCCACTAATCACCGCTAAAGCGTATACACTAGCTTCCGTGAACCCTCCGAATACATTTGCTTAAAAGCTTTCAAGGAAGTAAGGCCCGGCTGCGTGCTCATCGCGTAAGTCATCACGTCAGAATAATGAGACACGTTCCGTAATTTATATAATGTACCCGACAAAAACAGCAGCTCTTTATGATACCATTTATTCTTACTTACATTTAACGCAGCGTTAATTATTAAATATTCGCTTCTTGATGTTACTTGTTTTGCACAAAAGCTGTGTTTACGACATGACAGGGAGACCGAGCAAGTACATGTCCAGGTGTGAGCACAGTTCCTATGATAAAGTCATATTACCTTCGTTGTTGTGTGTGTGTGTGTGTGTGTGTGTGTGTGTATGAAGGGAAAATTATATCCCAGAATATTCAAAATAAAGGAATATAATAATAACTCAAAAATGTAGTACAATTGTTAAAAATGGGTAACTTTTTTAAGCAGTCAAAAAGTATTTAAGCATAAACAGGCTGAGAATGTAACGCATAACGTGACTATCTCTGCAATATGAATTTCTACTTTACGAGTATGTAGCTATGATGTAGCTACGATTTTAATGACTGTGCAATATAAGACGTCGCAAATAAAAGATAAAGGAATAAAGCAATAAGCGACGAAAGAGTCAAAGAACACTCGACGAACAAATTGCTCTTGCTCTCGATGATAAAACTATTTTCGCTAATTACGGAGAATTTCTTAAATGAAATTTACGCTTGTTATCGTCGCGAGAAGGCGATACAGACACGTGGATCAGTTTATTTGATAACGTTGAAAAGCTCACACGGAAACGGCCTGACTTGGCTAATAATTAAGGGGGGAAAACCAATTAGAACTTTCAAAAAATCGAATTTTTTTTTTTTGCATAAAATGTTTATTTAACATTGTAAGAATATGTTCCCAACGTTTTAAATCGAAATTCGCAGCCGTTCGGAAGTTATGGCCTCCGAGCGCAACAAATCTCTTGAGCAGCGTCGAGGCTCTAATAGCACGCAGCAGGTATACTCACCCGGAGCGGGGATTTTACCTTTCAGGGCTGCGATCCAAAACGTATAGAGATGTAATTATAGTTTTACTGTAGGTTTTGGAACGCACCCCTGGTAGATGGCTTTTATTTCTATTGTTACGTTTAGTCGAAACCGTTGGGTCCGTTGGCGCTGGCATCGAGCAGAACCGGTTTTCAGTTTAGCTCCGAAGTTCGGCCTGTACAAAACGACAGTGCAAATTCGAAATGTCCTATCCGAAAG